ACTTTCAATGACGTCATTCAACACAAAAGGATAGGATTCAGTCACTTGAGGATTAAGAGCTAAGTCGATGTATAAAGATAAATTACCTTCAAGCAATTGCTAAACAAGCTCTGTGGTTCAAAAAAAAAAAAAACACGCCCATTCATAAATAAAGCCTTTAGGGCCGAGGACACGGAAGCTTGACCTACTTTCGATATCTAGGTTAATGTGAGTGCAATTGAATAAGGTACTCACAAATGTTGTTTCAGAGCGTCTTCCAGTTCTCAAGCCCAGTGGTTTGTGACAAGAATACCAGTTTTACTCAGTTTCGCGCTTTAAAATGGTTCGAATCGGGTGAGAGCGTCCTCCCCTTTCGATTGCCGTGCTTAAACTAATTCGTAGAGTGGCGAGTATGCGCGCGTCCCTGTTCCCGGCGTCCTTGTATGAAAGCGGGGCGGTTGTGAGGGTGGCGCCATGGTAGCACGTCAAGGCAACACATCAATCAATATGCGGGATAAGATCCTGGCTAATCAGCCGTCCACCAAGCCTCTTTATAACCGTATCATTAAAGTCAAACGACAACATCGTTGCAAAAAAAAATACTAGGCCTTTCTGTAGAATGCGCTTCCTATTACTTATTACGAATAACTGCGTTTACATTGCTACAATGGAAAAACTAATAGCATTTTATGATGGAAGCAATATCTATTATGGTACTTGTTTGATAGAATATTCGAACGTGTTTGAATCTTTTTTTTATTTTTTTTTTATTGCTTCGATGTGTGGACAAGCTCACAGCCCACCTGGTGTTAAGTGGTTACTGGAGCCCATAGACATCTACAACGTAAATACGCGACACACCTTGAGATATAGTTCTAAGGTCTCAGTATAGTCACAACGGCTGCACCATCCTTCAAACCGAAACGCATTACTGCTTCACGGCAGAAATAGGCGGGGCGGTGGTACCTACCCGTGCGGACTCACAAGAGGTCCTACCACCAGTAATTACGCAAATTATAATTTTGCGGGTTTGATTTTTACTGCACGATGTTATTCCTTCACCGTGGCAGTCAATCGTGAACATTTGTTGAGTACGTATTTCATTAGAAAAATTGGTACCCGCCAGCGAGATTCGAACACCGGTGCATCGCTCGATACGAATGCACCGGACGTCTTATCCTTTAGGCCACGACGACTTCAAATCTATCTATGTTTTTATATTACTATCCGAATGATAAGGCGAGCCTAATAGTGAGTGGTCTCTGTCATGGACAACAGCTATTTCAGTAGCATAGCCGCGCCGCTGCCTACCACCGAGGACTCTTTTTAACCCTCGTTTGAAGTAATACATGTTAATAACAATAAAAATTAATACCTCGTCCGTGACTACGAAAATTGTAAAATATTCGAAACTTCTAAAGTAACATAACGTTAATAAAAAACACGAGATTAAACCGTAAAAGTAGTTTTAATGGTGTCTAAGATTTGCGAAAACTGAAGAGAATACAATAAAAATAACATTATAGTATTTGCCAAAATTTCGCGCGGTATTCAAAATAGCGTTAAGAATATTAAAAATAACGTTGAGTTCAGTCTAGTGTAAACAAGAAAACTGGTAAGTATCCGCGTAACGCCGCGCCGTATTGAGAATTGAAATAAACAAAGAGAAGATTTAACCGCAAAAATCTTTTTGTTTACGTTGTTGAGTGACGGTCGAACATTCAAAAGTTCAAAATCTAATTTCACATTCATCTTTTTAATTTCGTGAGATTAAAAAAGCACAAAAACACGTTTTTACATATTTTCGAACGTCGAAGAGTCCATTAGACGAGCTACATACTTACATATTTTTAAGTTCTCTATCATTCGTATTTATGTGAAAGAGCTTTTAACATCCAATAAATTATTACAAAAACACCTGCCGAGTTGAAACCGTGAGCGGTTGACATACGGTTACCGAGCGATCGCTATTCCATACAAAATATGTCATAACAGTGTGCTTAGTGCGAGTTTCTTAACGTTCTCGATAGAGTAAAAGTTAAGACAATTTTGTATGCAGTTGGAACAGCGCCCCTAGCGGTAAACGTACGCAAACGATCCCATTTCATAACAAATATGAGCTAAGTTTTACGATCCCGAGAACGTTAAAAAACTCGCACTAAAGCCTTGTTCGGACTAGGCGAGTATTTTAGTCGAGTACCGAGTAATTTACTGGCTAAACTACTCGCTACTCGCCCGAAAAAATAGAACAAAATGGATTGACTTGACTAAATTATTTACTAACCTACTCGACTATATTTTTGGTGCTCAGACACATTTAGCTACTAAATTACTCGGTACTCGACTAAAATACTCGCCTAGTCCGAACAAAGCTTAAGCACACAGCTAATACATGTGTACTTGCGTGCAAATAAATAGTTCTACGCACCATCTCCGATATATCAAAAGTCATCGTTGCGAAAACCGACACTTGATAGACAGTTACCGCGTACAATTAATGTAACCATTGAACCATTGTTTTTATATTGTTGTTATGTTCGAACATTCTTGTTTAAGTGCATGATTACATGAAAAATTCCTACCATCTATTTTATAGCTATTGTAGCTGAATTAAAAAAAACTACGAGATACACTGTAAAACAAAAAAAGACGATTACCAAAATATTGACATAAAAAGGAAATGACGCATAGCTTAAGCTGATTTGACAAGTAATGGATCGTGGCTCCATCCCGAATGGAGATTGATTACATTACAACTGAAATCAACAAACGGTCCGTCGATATGATATGATCTCTGTTATATAAGAACCTATAAACCGTACGGGGGACGCTTACATTTGCAGTATGTTACATAATTATTAGTGAAATTCGCGGAGATTTCGCAACGAAATTTACTGTCCCAGCGTCGAATAAAAACAATAAAAGTGAAAATAAACGAATCTTTATGTAAAACTGTGAACAGTGAAATCAATAAAATTGGTTCTTCGGTTATTAGTCCGCAATTAAATAAACCAAGAGGAATTAGCGCCGGTAGATAGACCAAGCCGAGCTGACCGCAAGGGAACGGACGCCACCAAAACTTTCCCTTTTCTCATTGTGAAAGTGATGATGCCCAATGCAACAGTTTGCATTTTCAATTGTGACATAAACCATAAGATTGATTGATTTGCTTTATTATTATTGTTTATAGACAATTAAAAGACCAGTGCATTTGACTTTTCATTTTAAATATAATGGAATGCTAGTGGTCCTGCAGTAGTCGAAATTCGACTATAATTAATTGGAATTGTAAGTTTGTACACTATTATGATTGTATTTTATACTTCTATAATCACAAATTTCGCCAAGACTACACTATACAAAATATTAACAAAGACAAACAATATTTAATCTATTCTCAATTTGACAACAGACGTCAAGAACAAAAGTTTGACAATAAATAGTATGCATGGGTGTGTGCGTCAAATACATGGTATGTAGTGTGTATAATGTTTTCTTTATTGATTTAATGTATCTTTTATGCATTATTTAAAAAAAAAATTAGCATTGTGCACTTCTTCTCTATATTCTCTATAAGTGTGGAAAATTTCATACTCCTCCGTCCGCCCAATTTTCGTAAAAAGGGATACAAAGTTTTTGCTTCACGTATTAATATATAGATATAATATATAAAAAAAGAATTGCTGTTCGTAAGTCTCGCTAAAACTCGAGAACGGCTGGACCGATTTGCCTAATTTTGGTCTTGAATTATTTGTGGAAGTCCAGAGAAGGTTTAAAAGGTAGATAAATATGAAATTGCTCGGAATTATATAAAAACAAACAATTTTGTTTTTCCTTTGATGTGTCCCCCGTCGGACGGATGGATTCCTTTTGTTTATTTTAAATTTATTTTATACAAAAGTTTAGGTCTTTTATTTATCGATTGAGGCACTACGAAGTCTGCCGGGTCAGCTAGTGGAATATAATTACAATTTATCGCTTCTGTAATTTTTGTAAGAATACATTAGACCTATTGATTGTAACCGAGGACTTATCAAGAATTAAACCAATAAAACAATAGAGCGAGTCACTTTCTAAATCATGACTTTCTATTAACGAACTTCGGCACGGCTTCGTCCCTTTATTGCCAATAATTAGCAGCAGACAAACGTTCTATTTATGGAGCGTTAAAGATTATAACTGCACGACCAATGGATATTGGCTTCGAACGGCTACTGTTGCTTCTATTGTTTAATTCGTTGCGCTAATTCGTGTTCGCTTGCTTGTTTGTTAAAATCCCTGAGCATAAAATTGTATAATATATAGCCTTATTATATAATTGTATAGTAGGCGTATTTTAATGTTACTTACCATAAACAAGCGTAGGGCATACATAATAACAAACCTAAAATGGTTTTATATAACACTCAGACAGAGATTATCAACATTGTAAAACCATTGATTAGGAGCATTTAATTTTATGAAGAATTTGCGAAAAGCATAACAATGATATTATTTAAACTTGGTTTTCATAGCTTGATGTCGTATTTTGCGTATTTCAAAAGCACTAAAACATTTTTATTCGTAAATTAACTACAATGTTAGTACTTTAATTCGATAAAACGCGTAAACACAAGTAGGGACAACCTGACTTATTTAAATGCTATACAAGGTCACTACGATACGATGTACCTATTTACGTTTGTCTAGGTTATCTGGTGCATGCTATTCGAAACATTGAGATTTTTTCAAAAAACAATTACGAAATGCTCTTAGAACACAAACGAGTCGACAAAATATTAATAAGAGGCTTTTGTGAAGTTATTGTAAAAAAAGAAGAGAAAATAATACAGTTCGTAACTTAACATGTAATTTGTTTTATGGTTTTTATAAGAAACACATTATATATTATGTACGGGTTATGTGGTTTGTCTTTTTATTGTTATAATGTAATTTGTACACTTTGAAAGAATGCCATCAATGAACCTTACCACAATGAAAGTTAAAACATATTATCTACTAATATCTAGATTACTACTTACCCTATGAAATTTTTAATGAAGCAGTATACAGCGAAAAGAGTGGCATCGTTGAGGTCAAGATCGGGTTTAATCCTAGGCAGCGCGACAGCAGGTGAGGTGGCGTCTCCTGGTGGAGCGCGCACCTCCGGCGTGGCCGCGCTCATGGCGGGCGCGACGCGCGGCCGCGTGCCCGACGCGTGCGGAGCGATCGTGACGGCCGACACGGCTCAGCTGTCCACCAAGCTAGCGGGCCTGCGGCGGTCGCAACCGCCCCGCATAACACCCCCGAGGCGCTCCCGGCACGCGGCACCCGCCCGAACGCACCAAAGCACCCGCGTCTTAGCTCGCAAGCCGAACGGCTGATACCAGCCCGCACCGCTCTCTGTCCTTGTATATCGATCGGCGAGTCGCGTCTGCGCTCTCGTTGCCGGCTAATTTTTCAGCCAGATAGTTGGCCTCAGACGTCCAGCATCAGAAAAGCCAAATAGATCACCAAAAAGAACCAAGGACAAACGAGGTACATGCAAACTGACATCATTCAAAAGTTTGTGTACAAAATTAATTTTATTCCCACGCAATGTTCAGTGATGAACCAGTCGTGCTGAGGTTAGCGTGTGCACGTGCAGATAGCGCGTGCGTCTGACAGCGCGGCGGCACTCTGACTGGGCGCGCTCGCGCCGCGTGCTTGCCGCCCGCCCGATATCCGTTTACCGTGCTATCTATACTCAACATAACTAACTCCTCACGCATAGGCTGATAATTTGCACACCTTGATTTACATACGATTACTGTATGATAGCCAAAACTCCCAAAAGGAATACCTATCTAGAGCTCTTCCTTGAATATGTGATTAAATGCAAAACAGTAAAGCCATTTTTGGTAATGGCAGCTTTCAAATATTAGGAACGCCATTGCTTTATTGTCTTAAGTGCGCCTATTTTATTCACAAGTACAGGACCTAATCTACAATGTATTCATGATTAATTTTCAACTAGTTTTTAAAGAAGTCTAGAAAACGTAATATCACAGAAGCAAGGTCAGAAACACGATTATTTTGTGCCGTAATATTGCTTGAATGTATGCTTTGAAATTGCTTATAATAACAGGATAATAATAAATAATACAAACTGGAGGTAAAAATTCTATGTGAAACGATTACGACAATTCATTTGTTTAAAGCGGTTTGTGGTCCCGACTTAGTTATACTACGTATTTAACGCAAACCGAAAACTCATAATTATTAAAAAGATCACATAGTAACTGAATACCCCGTAAAAAAATCAAACTGCGGTCAATGTCCTCCCGACAAGCAGAGTGATGGATCTATCTAATGAACAAAAAAAAACTTATCAAACGGTTTAGACGCGGCGAACGATGCGAAAATATTTTTTGCTACAGCCGAGAGTGGCGGTCGGGGTACCTCTAATGAAATCCCATGTCTCGTAACATCTGACCCGTTCACCGCAACGCCCCATGAGCTCGGGACACTCAAGACGTATTCAATTACTCCGTGTACGTACATTGAGGACGTCGACCCAATACGTGCCCAGTCTATTGCGTGGGCCTCGATAGATCTAAAGATTATCACTTTTTTGCCGTCCTCAAACCAGTGTGTTCGGATAAATTAACGACTTTGTAATAAAGCGATGAGACGGCTGTCAGCATGTCTTTGATGCCCTTTCTGTTGTGAAATGAAGNTCAAGACGTATTCAATTACTCCGTGTACGTACATTGAGGACGTCGACCCAATACGTGCCCAGTCTATTGCGTGGGCCTCGATAGATCTAAAGATTATCACTTTTTTGCCGTCCTCAAACCAGTGTGTTCGGATAAATTAACGACTTTGTAATAAAGCGATGAGACGGCTGTCAGCATGTCTTTGATGCCCTTTCTGTTGGGAAATGAAGGACAGCAACGTTCGTTCTTGGAAAAATAGCTCACGACTGCCGCTCTCTCGACAGACTCTGGTTTTCTTCAACGAAATATAATTTATACGAGAGTGGTTCTGTTATGTTTGTGATAAATTTAACATCTTAACCGTCAATTTGTTGTAGGCTGAATTGAAAATAATGTATACATATGTATGTATATATGTAACCTCTATAGGATTTATCTTAAAAGAGCTTAAAATATGTTATAAATATGACATAAATGAAATTTGAATATTGAAACATTAGAAGAAGGAACATTAGAAATATTAAAACATTTTTAAAAGATTTAAATATAAAAAAACATAAAAAGTGCTATAGTTTTACTAGGCTAAACTTTATTTTGATGTAAATAAAATAATACAATATATATATAAGTATTAATTTTAATTAAAAAGAGAGTTGAAACATTAAAGAAAATTTAATAGGCACTATCAGAAATGTTTTGTCAATAAGTTCCGAGTAATTCAGAACAGTAATTTAACTATAACATTTATAATAATTGAAATTGCGATTTAATTAATAATTACAATATTACTATAAAATTAAGAGTTTCCGTGAAATAAGTTACTTTTAAAAAAATTAGATGTACATTTCTTTCATGTTAGGTTCCTCAATTTTGCATTTCACGTGTATAAGATGCCTTCATTTCAGACCGGTCTCAAGAAAGGACAAGAAACACAAGTTACGATTTTTTTAAATTCGTACTGTTTTAAGCTCGTTGAACGACAAATAAAAAATTCGAGTATTTTCATTCAGGCCACGGTGTGCTCACCGGTGAGCCTTATCTTACTGAACCGTTCGGGCCGTGAGGGTGACCCGTGAGTCACCACAGATTGCAGCTATCAAATAAAACGCGTATGGAAGTGAGCTGTGTGGCCCTTTAGCCGAACCGAACGCCTTGGTTTTTTAAAATACGCCTTTTAAAATATTTAAAGACTAAAAGGTCACTAATTCTTATCTTCCGTGCAAACTTCGCATTTTATAAATTTAGAATGCAAATCTAAAGTTGAGAAAAATTACTGATTCCCTTATTTATTTATGATATTATTTATTTTATTGCTTAGATGGATGGACGAGCTTAGAATACTGCTAGTTTAGAATACGTTCAAATTACTATTAAATTTAGTGGTGGAACGCAGAAATAATTTGGGCGAGAGAAGTTATATAAGGACTAAATGCTGCTACTGAACATGAGTTAAGGGCAAGAGTAGCACTCATATTTCTAATGAATTACCGGTCAGACCGCGATCACTATAGGAATACATGGCCAATATCATTATGGCAATAACAACTATTAGAATTTAAGTTTTTGTTAAGGAATCAAATGCTGAAATTTTTATTCTCGATATGGGCCACAGTTGCGTTTCGATGACGCGCTCGTCTGCTGGAATACATAAATAAAAATCTTTATCTCAATGTTGCGATGTTTCTTAGAAATCGATGTGATGTTGTTTACCTCTAGTGTTATATAATTTATAGCCAAGTGTGAGATCCAGTCCAGTCAAAGATAGTTTAATGAAAAAAAAAACATTCGTATCAAGCTATAGGTATAATAATATATAATACTAGCGACCCGCCCTCGCTTCGCTTCGGAAACATTAAATTTTATTATTGATAGGCGAGTCCTGTCATGTTGCGCGCGGTACGACAATAACTGCGGGCGACGCCGCAGGGCGAAGCAAGTCTAAAAAAAGTAACCTAATTTACTCCTTATATCATCAGCTACTTATTAGTGAAAGTCTCGTCAAAATCGGTCCAGCCGTTCCAGAGATTAGCTGGAACAAACAGACAGACAGACAGACGGACAAAAATTATAAGAAATGTTATTTTGGTGTATGTACCGTATATATATTCATAATATGCATGTAGTAAAAAGCGGTTATTTTAATATTACAAACAGACACTCTAATTTTATTTATATGTATATGTAGATTATAGGTATATGTCGCAGTGTTCGTGACACGAGAAAATTACAAACTTGCATTCGCAATCAACGCTATGGTGTCTAACGTTTGCGTGCATCGTTCTATTGATGCAATATGACCTAGTTGTTATTTCCATGAAATCGTTACGTTTTAAACTAATGTTGGTATAACTGTATACGGCAGCCTTTCTACGTTATTATCGTATATTTCAAATGAAACTTAATATTTTGTTTCGGATTAATTTATTCCTTGTTCGGTGAATAAATTTTGCAACTGAATAACGAGCGGTTTAAGTGGCAACAAAAATTAAATTAATGTTAGTGACAGGTGCAATTCAGAACGACATAAATCGGGTAAATCTAATGTTGGGAACGTCGGCATCGGCTGCTGTATTTACGCAAGTATTGGCGATTTCCCGCTATCGGCAAACTGCGCACGCGCGGCCACTGATCTGTGGCGCAAGCTTCCATCATTATTCTCATTACGAACGAGCGAGCGTGTTCGCAATTGCGGCACACCCGTCTCCTGCCAAATGGTGACTTGACAACACTGCCACAAGTAGTTTAATGTGCTTATAACAAAACAAACTAGAATGTTTCCGAGTCAATTGAGCCATCCAACGAACGCATACAATATATGTATGTAGGTATAAACAGAAACGCCACTCCACTGGAAGTCATAACTCATTTAAATGACCATTAAAAATAGAACAAACACAATATAATTTGACTGTGCAACTTATACACGTGTAAAGACGTAATTAACAAAGATAAAACGGTTTGCATCTGTTTTAGGTGAGAGACTGCGACAGGCGATATATTTGTGAGTTGCATCGCAAGATTACGTGATGATAGACTAATGTGACACAGAAAAAGGCAAAGGACAGTTACAAGTGGTTTCCCTTTTCAAGAGCTCGATAAAAGTAGAAAATTAAATTTTGCGCTAGTATTCACATACATGAAAAAATAGCTTCGCTTTTGTTTACCCTTTTATTATTATTATTATTGCATATGTGGGTGGACGAGCTCACAGCCCACAACCAGTTAAGTGGTTATTGGAGCTCATAGACATCTACAACGTAAATTCGGCCACCCACATTGAGATATCAGTTCTAAGGTCTCAGTATAGTTACAACGCCTGCCCCCACCCTTCAAACCGAAACGCATTAGTGCTTCGCGACAGAAATAGGCAGGGTGATGGTACCTACCCGTACGGACTCACAACAGGTCTTACCACCAGTAAAATGGATATGATGGTTATGGATATTTGTAGTTTTATACAAATAAATCAAATTAATATGCTGTCTTTATTTACGAAATAAATATCCTTTATATGTTCACATCGTTATTTGGACAAAAGTAAAAGCAAAAAAATGTTTGTCAGTCACCACACATTATTCTCAAAAACGTTCTCAAGCAATTCTGATAGGATTTTAATTGGCGAGTAGTATTTTTGTGAATGACACGTGAATGCCGCTAGCTTTAGACACGAGGTCGTAGTCTCAATTGTATTGTATCACGGCTGACCCACACCCTCCAACCGGAACGCATGACTGCATCGCGGCAGAAATAGTCAGAATAACTAAGTACAGAATAAATAAAACGATCCATGTGTGTGTCCAACTGTGAACTTTCAAAGCATTACCACTAAAATAATTTAGTTAAATTCGGTAATTGACGGTAACTTTTGCGAGTTTGTTTTTTCATGCGCAGTACGAATTTCCTTACAAAATTTGGTACCTGCTGCTTACGGGATTTCAGCGAGCATCAGCGAATCAAAGCAAAGCAGTAACTTGCTAGTTTTTCATTATTA